CGGCTTCGTTAGTCGCAAAAAAGTTGAGAGTCATCGGCAAAACAGCTGACGACGTGAGTCGTCGAGTCGATCTGGAGGCCGTCCTGGGCGTGGTTGCGGAGCTGGAGGCACATCGGTTCGAGCGCCATCACGAAGAGCAGAGGCGAGAGCGGGTCACCTTGGAGTACACCCCGTTTGATGCAGAAGGGCGACGAGAGGTCACCGTTGACGAGGATCTGGATCGGCGTCCCGAGTACAAGCATTGCATCATGGTGCAGAAGCGCTGCGGGAGACCCCACTTGCGGAGCACCGCGAGCAAGTAGCCGTGGTCCGCCACACTCACTCACGAACGATCGTGACGTTTCGGTGACGTGGCCTTCGCGACGATCACTTTCGATTGATCTGAGCTGCAGCGGCGGTTGAGATCACGGCGCTCGTGATCCTTGTTAGCATTGATGATCACGCCAAACGGCCGCCGCAACTGGCTATCTTTGCGGGTAGTGTCGCGTTGCGTGGTGCAGCAAGCATCACCGGTCCTAACCGTGCGTAGACACATCTGCACTACCCGTAGCACTAGTGCTGGTTGGTTCTATGACATATTTGTAAACGCTTCATTGGCCCAGCAACAAAAAACGACCGACGCATGACCACCTCATCGAAGACATGGCGCGAGACGAGCGTAAAACGGCGTCCATCAGCTCCTCTGTTGTACGTCACCGAAATGATCACGTTGCATGAGGACGCAGCAAGATACCAGTTAGTACGCTCGTTCAGCAGTAATGTGGCCGACGCCATCGAGCAACTCAATGCTCTGTATAGATAGGCCAGCTTCAGCCAGCTTCCGGTTGCATCGATTGAGGCAAAGCAAGACTGGCATGCAGTCATGAATCACACAGCAAAGCAGAAACTCAGCTATATCTTTCCAGTCATTGCTTGCTTCAATGCTTTTGTTAGAATCCTCTAAAAAGAGTATAGTCATTTAGACTATAGCGGCGAAAGCTGCACTTGGAGGAAAATCGGCGCGATCGGCGGTGTTTGTCGACGAACGTTCACGTTTGCAGTCGGTGGGTTGCGTCGACGGCTAAACGTACAACAAGCATCTCGGCCATGGCAAATCGGCTCCCAATGTACCAATGCAGTTCTTGTTACCTTTTAAAGAGTGGCTCCAAATCGGCTCAAATGAGGCGTTGCATTCGATTAAGCGCTCTACCACGCAATCGTTTAGGGCAGAGTCAGCGCATCATAGCTGGTAGAAATGCGTCAGGCTGGCTCCAGCACGCGGGATTGCGATGGATCGCGACCAGGTCGAAATGGATGCTCGTGCTTGTTGGCCTGTAACATTGGTAGATTCGAGCATGTGATCACAACACGTGGCTTACGTTGCTGCTTTGGTGTCCGCAGAGCCACGTTTTGCCCACGGACTGCAAAACGAGGCTACGAAACAAAAGAGCGAACTTCGCTTTGACATTGAGTACCGGTAGGGTATTTGTGAGTTAAAAAGTGTGCCATGTCTTCGTCCCCAGACCAAGCTGATGCCGCCTGTGGTTTTCGGGACCTCATGAAAGGCGCGAGAGTCGCTCACGGGTGCAGTAGTTCTCTCCATTGATGATCATCACGCGCTTGACAGTGTCCGCAGGACCATAATCTACGCCTTCTCGTGCGTTCGCTACGATACCGGGCGTGGCCAAACGAGCTCAGTGCATGTGGAGCACAGAGCAGCGCTGTGACACCGGCAGCGAGGACTGCAGGAGCAGCAATTGGGAGTAACTAGGACAAGAAACGTCTGTCCATTTGAAGCGATTCAAGACACGATTCATGTTCGTTTACGGTACGATGGTGAGCGTTGTTGCAACAAGTTGTAGGCCTCGAGCTACTTCAGTTTAATCCGAAGGCTCGTCATTTTACGCCAATCGACGGCTTTCTTTTCACTTGATGTCGTTGACCACACCATCATAGCTGCACCATCATAGCTGAGTGCTTCCGTCCTTGGGAATCTTTGTACAATCAACTGGTAGTGGAATCAGCAAATAGCGGTGGTTTAAAGTTTCCGGATGTGTATCCGGACATGCACTGGCCATTTCTCAAGAATTGCAGAGGCGACGGGCGAGGAGGGATGGCCTTCGACCTGCAGGCGCTCCATGGCTACGACCGGCCGATGCTCAAGGCCGAGTTCCCGTCGGCGACGCACTTCAAGTACTTTGTGCAGGACTACTGCTTCAACAGCGACACGTCGTGCAAGATGGGTACGCGAGACGCCACCTCTCGGCTCTGGCCCAATGCCGCCTGCATTTCTCTAGGTTTTCGATCTGGCAGCAAGAGCCAATACATCTGCACGAGCACGCCCTGCGAGTGGCATGTGACGGCGACGCGCATCCGCCGCAAGGGCTCCACGGGCAAGTCCTTCGAGATTGCCAGTACGTGCTCATCTCGGCATCAGCAGCATGCCTTATGGCCGCCATAGGCATGAACCTCGTGCATTGCGACTCGTGCACATCAACGTCCAAGGCCACGGAGCGCCAGGCTGCCATGTTGCCTGCCGTCAAGGCGCTCGTTCTCGCGCAGCATGACTCCTCGAAGGAGTCGCTCGTCAACGGCATGCAGGTACGACTCATACGTGTCACCATCCCACACTCCCATGTATTTGCCCAGGCACTCGGTGGTACCAACTTTTCAGCGCGGTCGGCCGCGTCAAGGACAAGGTCCTCGAGCAGTATACGTCGCAGGTAAAATTGTATTCCCTCAATCGTTCGCTCCCTCATGGCCGTGTAGCTCGAGAACAGCTACAACTACATTCCGTGGCTCCTCACCGAGTTTGGCCGCGCCAACCCAACTTGCCGCGTGTCGCTCGAGGCAGACACCAAGTCGCGCTTCTACCGCGCGTTCGTGTCCTTTGGCGTCTTTGTCGCCGCGGGCCCCCGCAGCATGCCAGTGATGGGTCTCGAGGCTGCGCACTTCAAGACAAAGCACTACAAGGGCTCGTCCCTCACGCTCGTGCAGAAAGACGGCAACGGCCAGAACGTCGTTGTGGCGTTTGCGATTTTGCCCAAGGAGAGCGTCGACAACTACTTTTGGTTCTTCGCCAACTGCACGACGGCCGGCATCACGGTCAACCCGCTCTTTGTGGACCAGAAGAAGGCGGTCGTCGCCGGCCGCGCGCTCTCGGCGACCAACATTCCCGTCGTCCTCAAGTTTTGCTGCCTCCACATCATTCAGTCTGTGAAAGCGCACTTTGACTTTTCGGGCCCTAGCTTTGAAGAGCAAATTTGGAACCTCCAGGCGTCGACGTCGCGCACCATGTACATGCACAAGCTCGACATGCTCACCGCCAAGTATGGCTACCCGCTGCGGCGGTACCTCGAAGACATCCCGCCCGTCAAGTGGGTCGTCTTTGCTAACATGGCTAACTTCGCCGACATGGAAGGGCGTCGGCTCTACAAGAGCGCGACGACGACCTTTACCGAGCACCTCACCGACGACAACGGTACCACCCGAACAGTCGAAAGAGTGATACATTGCGAATAGGTGCCATGCGCCACAAGGTTCAGCGCTCGCTGCCGTTCGGTGCGCTTTTCAAGAGCATGGAGCGCGCGGCGAAGGCCGTCGCTGAGCGCGACGCCAAGGCACGCCAATGGCTCCAAGAAAAACGCGTTCTGACGCCGTTTGCCAAAGACTTTTACCTGACGCAAAAGTCCATGGCCAATATGTACTTGACCAAGCCGACAACGGATGGCGTGTACTGCGTGTACCGGAGCACGGCGCCCATGCACGACCAAGAGATGGTGAACCTCAACGACCTCACGTGCACGTGCGTCGATCGCGACCAGATGGAGCTGCCGTGCCGCCACCTCATCGCGGGCCTCAAGGCTGTCAACAAGATGGAGCGCATCCTCCAGGCGTACGGCTACTGCTACACGATGGAGGCGTACGCCCAGGCGTACAAGGACAAGCGCATCGACGTGCCGCGCGTCGAGGCCAAGGTCGCAGACCCGAACCTGAAGAGCCCGCCTCTCGTGCGCGCGCCCAAGCGCAAGCGCAAGCGCGATCCGCCGCGTAACCGGCGCAACCCGAGTAGCAAGACGTACAAGTGCCGCAAGTGCCACGGCGAGGGCCACAACATCTCGACGTGCCCGCTCGTCGAGGAGACAGAGGTGGACGTCGGCCACATCATGCCCAGCGGCGAGGCCTACGCGGGCTTTACGGCGCCGCCTGGCTACTCGATTGCGATGTTTATGGACTCGGTCCTCGACACGAACGACGCGAGCGACTGTGACTCGTGCAAGTCGGACGACATGGAAGACACGGACGAGCTCGGTTTTTGCCTCGACGACCTACTCAACAGCAGCAGCAACAACAACAACAGTGCGTCCATGAACATGCCCGCGGCGACAGGTATCATGCCGGGCGCCATGGCCTTTCGCGCGATCTAAGCGTCGACACGTGTAGTAGTTGTCGTTAGTACCTAGTGCATGAAGAGGCCAAATGAATTGAAACCTGTTTTGAATCATCAGGACCACTAGCCGCCCCGTCGCCAAGCCCCGACGACACGCGCTTAACGCTTAAGTGGGTTTGACATGACATCGTCGCGTACTTGGTCCGCTTGGTTAACGCTTAAGTGGGTTTGACATGACATCGTCGCGTACTTGGTCCGCTTGGTTCAAGGTCCGCGACACTGTCGCGGTATCAGCAATTGCCCCACTCGAGTCGGAATCCATGGTCGGAATCCGCCTTCAGCGAGACGCTGGGCAATCCATTTGCTTCTTGGTACAATATTGTAACAAGTGGGGCAACGAGACACAAGTATGCGCTGGAGGCACTGCACACTATTGAGTGCCAAGACGAGCGTTCGTCGTTATCAAGAGAATAACAATCGAAATGAAGCTACACGAGGCGGTGCTTCCAGTAGAGAGCGCCCGTGAGGAGTGCAATACCAGCGTACACGACGCTCACAAGCTGCACGTTGAAGCCGGTCCAGAACCCGATCGGGTTGTCTCGCAACATGATGTGCGCCGACGCGCCGCTGTCTGCACTGCACGTCGCTCGGCAGGCGCCACACGGACACTGCTTGGGCGCCAATGGATTGGCCATCGACGGCAGACGCTGGGCTTGGGCCGGCAGCCGGTGATACACGTCGGGCGCCGTGACTTCAGAGTAGTTGTCGCAGCGAAGCGCTGACGTGTTGAAGTACGAGCTATTGGCACCTTCACGACGACGTAAGACATCCTCGGGCGACCAAGAAGAAGACAGTACCAAAGTGGAAAAAGAGATATTCGCCATGGCCGACGGCGCCGGTCTGTCCCTGGTAGTTGAGAAAACCGAGCGACGACTTGAAGGCGTCCGACATGCTTGCGATCGCCGTGTGCTTGCACGAGTCAAATAGTGCGCAAGTGAACGGCTTGGCGAGGTTCACGTCCATCTACACAAGCTCCCGTCGTCCGCTAGGGCAAGACACATCCATGTCTTACCTCAAGCACCTTGACGTGGTCCTTCCCCGTCATCGAGTCGAGACGGTAGTTGTTGCTCGGGTACGGTAAGTGCATCTTCATGAAGTCGGCCTGATTCGGCGCACACACAAGGCCGCACCACATGCGCATCATGTTGGCGGCGCTATCGATGTAATGCAGGCGAAAACTTGTGCAGGGGTTCTACCATGCATCGCAGCCGCCGGCGCTATTGCGACCAAACATGGTCGCAATGAGCTTAAAGTTGTCAGCAAGCGCTCGGTTCTGCTGCCACGAGCAGCACGCCGAGCTTTCGTACTCGGGGCACTGGATCGCAAAGTCGTCGCAGTGGGCGCCAGCCGTCACGCCGTCGTTCTACGAGAGGCCAAGAGAGTTTCATATCTGGTGCGATACAATCAGGTCGTCGCACCCGACAGACGCAGGCCTTCTTGACGCAAGTGCCCTGGTGGCAATCGGTGTCTGCCTTGCATGTACCGCCGCCCGTGACTACATGCTAGCATGAGGCAAACACGAGCTTGCAGCGTTGGAGACGGAACCTGTCGCCCATCCATCCCCGCGCATCTACGATCACCGTCAGTTCAGGAACAAGCATGCCAGGGGACGACGTACGGGCATGGGTGGGGCCACCGAGGCGAGGGCCTTCGGGATGCATGCGTCGTAGTCGGGGATGTTGCCAGGGTTCACGCAGTCTTGCGTCATGACACATCCACTGCCATCCACATATCCCAGGCTCAGCCATATGAGGGCGAGCGCCGGCAGTGTTCCTCGCATGACGGTCGTCGTCGGCGCCGCAAGATATTTTTCGCCGTGATTCATAAGCAAGGAATTCACCGCCTCCTATTGGCCAAAAAGACCTTGAAGAAGCCGCGTGGATTGCGTCAAACGACGAAATCCGATCTTTTTGGCCAATCAGCGACGCTCACTTGGTTAGATCGCAAGTTCACATCGCATTCCATTTTCGACACCATTGGTACCAGGAGAGAACGATGCGAGCCTTCCTTCGCCGCCCACTGCGCCAGAGCGCGCGGTCGCTCACAAGTCTCGCCGTGCAATCTCACAAGGCGACGAACCTAGCGGCGTCTTCCGCGCCCAAGCACGTTCTCTGCCTCGACGTCACGGACCGCGTCTGCATCGACGAGTTTCTCCAGCAAGGCCTTCATGTTGACGAGATGTCGAGTGCGAGCCTGATCGAGGCGCTCGCACCCGATGGCGCGGATCTCTCCAAGTACGACGCGATGCTCATGGACCGGCAGACGCGACTGCCGCTCTCGGACCTCCTCAAGCACGCGACACGCCTCAAACTCATTGGCGTCCCCGGTGCACAGACGGCGCACGTCGACATCCTCGCCGCGACCAACAAGGGCGTCATGGTGCAAAACATCAGTACCAAGGTCGGTGGAAAGTCGGCTGTGGAAGCTGAGATGGTGTTGAGCTTCCTTCTCCAAATCATGCGCAAGATTCCCCATGCTGTCGCCGCCACACGTAGCACGAGCCTCGACGCTGACATGAACGCGTTCACGGGCGAAGAGCTCCAAGGCAAGTCGATCGGTATCATTGGACTCAATGAGACGGGCCAGCGAGTTGGTGAGCTGGCCACGGCCATGGGCATGCGCGTCCTTGCGTACGACCCGACCGTCTCAGAAGAGGCAGCTGCGCTCTCGGGTATCGCCAAGTGCGCGACGCTCCCTGAGCTCTACGCGACGAGTGACGTGCTTACCTTCCACGTCCCGCTCACTAGTCGGACGCGGCAGATGTTCAACGCTTCCGCGCTGGCCCACTGCAAGCGCGGTGTCCGTCTCGTTGCTGTCGGCGGCTTTGGTGTCCTTGACGCGGCTGCAGTCGCCGACGGCTTGGCTACCGAGCACATTGGTGGCATTGCGCTCGAAATGCCGTCTCCGGACGTCCATGTTGATGCGTGGTCGTCCGTGTTCTCGCACCCGTCGGCGGTCGTCGCTCCGTACGACGCCGACGCGACGTCGGACGAGTCAGCGCGCATGTACAAGATGATTGCGGAAAACATGTGCGCGGCGCTTGACGAGCGCGCGTTCCCCGGTGTCGTCAACGGCGTCTTCATGCCGCTGACACTCGTGCCCGAGATGAAGCCATTCCTTGCGCTTTCGGAGAGCCTCGGCCGCTTCGTCATGGAGTTGCTGCCGCCCACGAGCCGAAAGGACCTTCGAAAGCTCACAATCTCGACAGCTGGCGGCAAGGACATTGACATCACGACGCCAAAGGCGCGCTCGGCGCTGCAGGCCGCGCTTCTCAAGGGCATGCTCGAGGTGTCGCAGCCGCAATCGACCTATTCGTACCTGAATGCGAGCTTGGTTGCGATGGCGCAGGGCGTCGACGTTCGTATGGGCGACGTCGAGAACGACTCGGATTTGCGCCTCAAGAACGCCGTGCACATCGAGGTCGAGCTCAAGGGCGGTTTGAAGCTCACAGTCGTCGGCAGCGTCTTTGGCGAGGAGCCGCGCATTGTGCAGGTCGACGAGTACACCGAATTTCCTGCCTTCAAGCCCAACGGCACGCTCCTCTTCTTCAACAACCAAGACAAGCCCGGCGCGATTAGCCACGTGTTGCAGCAGCTGGCACTGGCCAAGATCAACATTGCGTCCATGGGCCTTGCGCGTCAGACGAGCCAGCCGCTTGCGCTCGGCATTCTCACGCTCGACGATGACATGACCGACGAGACTCTGGCTCGGATCCAGGGCCTAGAGGGAATTACCAACGTCCGTCTCGCGCGCATGGGCGCGGCCATCGAGTAAGAGGATATTGTGGTTTGCTTGTTGCATCAGTTTTGCTAAAACCAGCGGCGCACAATGGAGGGGTCGTCAAAAGTCGTGACACGCCCAAATCTCATCACTGGGTCAAAACTGGTGACCACAAGCAAGGAAATAATACTACATTGTTCGTATTTCCTTGCCACAAGTGTGCAGATCCCGGTTACCCTAGCCCTTCTGTGGCAAGCACAAACATACTAGCACGGCGGTATCAATTCTTACGTCAAAAGACCCCACGTACGTACGAGAAATTGCCAAAAGCAACCTCGTGTCTCCTACTGGTCCAAGCGCGCGTTGCTGAAGAAGCGGTCCATGAGCGTCAAGGACACTTGCGGCTGGTCCATGGGCACCATGTGGCCGGCTTCGAAGACACGAACGAAGCTGAGGAGGTCTGTGGCCCGCACGTTCCCGGCCTCCTTGCCGTTGACAAGAAGCGGGCGCACACTCGCGTTGTTGAAGGCTGCTTTGCCGGGCCACTGCAGCGTCTTGGTCCACGCTTCGTTGCCGACCCAGTTGCACATGAGATCGGCGTCGCCGGCGTATACCATGACGCGGACACCCGCCGCGAGCAGGGGCGGCACGAACGAGACGTAGTCCTTCATGAAGTCGATGCTAAAGTCGCCATAGACTCGCGTCGCGACCTCGGTCCACGTAATGTTGTCGTGCACGCCGAGGCGCGACTGCACGCCCGGCGTGTTGAGGAAGGCGCGAACGTTGGCAATGTGGTCGACGCAGCCGTCAACGGAGCAGTCTTCGCGAATGTCGTACGGGTTGCCCGTCTTGTTGCTGTAGCTCATCATCGGGCCCAAGATGTGCTCGCCCCAGTACTGCGTCGCCTCGGGACACACCGAGTCGTTGGTTTGGCACTGCACGACGAGCTTCCCGCATGCAGCAGCTTCGGCCTTGAGGGTTGCAAAGCCTTCAGGAGACGCGAGATCGATGTACTTGTTGTCGCGCGCCATGTGCGCCGAGTACGGAATCTGTGTGATGGTGTCCGTCATGCCGTTGCCGATCGCGATGCCCTCGAGGTTGATGCGCACATCGCCGGTCGCGTTGGTCATGCCCACGATGTAGTGCGCGGCCGCAGGGACGTAGTGCCCGGCGTAGCTCTCGCCCGTGATGAAGAACGGGCTCTTGGCGTACTTGGGGTGCTTTGCCAGGAACGCTTGCAGGAACGCGTAAATGTTGCGGCCAACGTCGACTTGGTTGTGGTCGTCGTCCTTGTCGCTCGTCGTGTACGAGAAGCCGACGCCCGTTGGCTGGTCGAGCCAGATGACGTTAGCGTGTGACGTCCACGAGTGCGGGTTGTTGACCGTGTTGAGGTTCGCGTCGATAGTGCAAGGGCCGTTCTCGGTGAGGAGTGCGACCATCGACGACCCACCGGGGCCTCCGGTGAGCCAGAGCACGAGCGGGTCCGTCGCCGGATTCGAGCGCGACTCGAAGAACCAGTAAAAGTAGTGGTCGTCGACCTTGTGCGGCAATTGAATGTAACCCGACTCTTGGAACGTCGCGTCGCAAAAGTCGGCCGACGACGACCGGCTGCCTGTCAGCGTCAAGAGCGCGAGGGCGGCGATGACACCAGCAGCGCCAATAGCCAACAGCCACCTCTTGTAGCTGGCTTCGGGCGCCTTCCGGGGCTTCACTTGCACGCTGAAGAGCGGGGACTTCTCGGTTGTCGACATGGAACGTTGTGGAATGAGCTGCAGTCTGACGCACGTCAATTATCGATGACACTATTTTGCGTTGGGTGTCACATTATACTTGTACAGTATTCAAAGAAATCAAAAACTTGCGCCAACCACACATTATTGTATCGGTATCATAGCGAGCATGATGCACCGAATTACACAAGCACGTATGTAGTACGTTCTGCACCATTGTCCGTGGCGCAGTGGTGACATTGATGGAGAGAGCTTCTGTTTCTTTGATTGCTCGCATACACTATTCACATGCTCATGGCGTCCATTCTAGTCCTTTAAATAGTGCTGTACGGAGTGACGATCGTTCACGATCATCATTCCTAACTGGCGATCTTGACCAGCAACGCCTACGATACAAACCACAAGAGGCGCGCGGAGCAACTGCCGATGCTATTACTAATAACCTGCAGCAGTAGTACCTCGGTAGAATCATCGCAGGTATCATCGCACGCACTTGTTTGTATGTAGAAGACGCCAAACTCATCGGGCCTCTGCGCGACGCACTGCTGCCGGTTTCGCAAGCAAGCGGGAGCGTTCCATCTCTGTCGTCGCACGCTGCCCAAGCAGCCCATGGCCGTTCCTTGCTGGCCATAGCATCCGCGGAACAATCTCACATCTGCACGGGTTCAAATTCGAAGCCGGAGCTGAGTTGCGCTTGCACAAAAGTTTTCGGACCGTCGCCGTGCGCTCCGGATCGTCATACGCTATGGCTCTCGAGAAAAAACTTCTCCTGCGTGGTTGTTATTGCAACGACAAACCACACACACGGCCGGACACCGCCTTCGCATTCATGACCCTTGGCAGCGCGGTCAGCCGGTGCCCATCTATCACGAACTGAGTACAGTGGAGTAGCCACCATCGAACTCAACTTCAACCACGCGCGTTCATTTTGCAATTGTCTTGAAATGACGGAGCAAGCGCCGCTCTTCCGTCTTGTCGTGCCCGCGCCACCAAAGCCCTCGTCGTCGTCGTCGTGGCTTGGGAAGATTTTTCTTGCCGGGATCAGTGCCGCAGCGCTCCTCGGTGCCACGTACCATGTCCATGAGCAGGCAACGGTAGCGCCACCCGTCGCTGCCCACGTGACCGGGTCGCGAACGACGGCCACAACGCTAAACGGGTCGTCGTTTTGTGATGCAACGTACCAAGAGGCCGGCTATGTACAGCTGCCGCACAAGGTCGACGACCACTACTTTTACTGGTTCTTCGAGTCGCGCTCGAATCCGGCGACGGACCCGCTCGTGCTCTGGCTCACCGGTGGCCCCGGGTCGTCGTCGATGATTGCGCTTCTCACCGAGAACGGCCCTTGCTCGATCAGTGACAACTTGACAACGATTCACAACCCGCACTCGTGGACGTCGCACGCTAACGTCATCTGGCTCGACCAGCCAACGGGCGTCGGCTTCTCGTACACGACGAGCGACAAGGACGACGACCACAACCAAGTCGACGTTGGCCGCAACATTTACGCGTTCCTGCAAGAGTTCCTGGCAAAGCACCCCAAGTACGCCAAGAGCCCGTTCTTCATCACGGGCGAGAGCTACGGTGGACACTACGTCCCTGCGGCCGCGCACTATATCCTCAACGCGCAGCTCGAGCCGCGAGCGTCGCGCCGCTCCAAGATCCATATCAACTTGCGAGGCATCTCGGTCGGCAACGGCTTGACCGACCCTGCCACACAGGTACCTCGTGTTATTGTGCATCGTCATCCTACCATTGTATTTAGATTCCGCTCACACCGGCGTTGGCCGTCACCAACGCTTACAATATCTCACTTGTGCCCGCGGACCAGCTCACCCAGCTGCTTCAGGACGCTGTTCACGCCGGCGTTCTCGCGCAAGAGTGCCGCGACGGCCAGCGCCAGAGCTGCCTCGCTGCGCTGGGTCTCTGGGACGATGCAGTCATTGGCGTCATGCAGCAGATGAACCGGAACCCTTATGACATCCGCGAGTTCTGCGGCGAATCGTGCTTCGACGAGACGGCCAACGCTGCGCGATTTCTCAACTTGGCGACGACGCAGGCGACACTTGGTGTCCACAAGCCATGGGTCATGACCAACGAGACAACGTACTCGGACTTCAGCGCCGACTTTATGCAAGACTACGTGAGTTACGTGCTGGATCTTCTCGCGCATGGGGTCCGCGTGCTCATTTACGCAGGCGACGCCGACATCATGTGCAACTGGGTCGGCAACGAGGCGTGGACAAAAGACCTCGTTTGGCCCGGCCAAGCCGCGTTCAACAACGCGACGGTGCACCCGCTTCTTGTCGATGGCGCCAGCTATGGCGAAGTCCGTTCGATCTCGAGCCTGAGCTTTGTACGCGTCTACGAGGCCGGCCACATGGTGCCAACAAACCAGCCCAAGGCGTCGCTGGCACTGATTGAACGCTTCTTCAAGGCCCAACCCCTTGATCAGTAGTTGTAGTAGGGTTTAAATGCACTACTTTACTTCTCGTTCGCCTCATGGCAAGCATCCGAGAGCCATAATCCAAGGATTGCAAGACACTGGCTGCCAAATGTAAGGCCTGTCGATGGCTTGAATGGACCTGAGTATGCAAATGGTGCGTTTGGATTGGCTTCCGTTGCAGCCAATCCTGTGACTGGCTTTGCTCAACTCAAATGCGTATCGAAACTCAATTTGCACTATGTATAATTGTGAGCGCCAAACTCAACTCAACGCGTGGGACTGGAGGCAGTCGAGGACCGTGCGAAACACCAAGCATGTCGTCGCTCTTGTCGGGGATCCGCTTCGTCGCGAACGCCGACTCGGACGACGAGAGCAGCAAGAAGAAGGCCAAGAAGCACAAGAAGGAGGCCAAGAAGCACAAGAAAAAGGTACCTCCTCCATGTCTCCTGACCACGGCTCATCACTTGGAAGGACTCGCCACCATCGCCGCCTGCCCCGACGCCGTCGCAGCTCAAGCGAGACGAATGGATGGACATGGTGCGTACAGGCTCTGCTTCCCATTGAAGCCTTATGTATGGCAGGACTTTGTGTCGGGGACGCGCAAGGTACAGCTCTCGGTCGAGGACCAGCGAAAGGCCGATGACGCCGCAAAGCGCCAGGAGGAGATTGACACCGGGAAGCGCGAGCCCAACACAGGCCTTCTCTACGGTCTATACGATCCCAAGAAAGTTGAGCAAGTGTCCATGATGGCTGCGCCTGTGGACGCGTCTGTCGGTGACGGCGGTGCGAGCTGGAAGGCCAAGATGCTGCAGCGGGCGAAGGACCGCGCACGGGAAACGGGTCAATCCCTGGAATCCGTCGTTCAGGCGCAGTATGGCATGGACTTGCGAACGCTCGAGGAGCAGGCGCGCGGCGCCCGCATGGACGCGCACCTGCACTACAAGCGCCATCGTGATCCGGACCAGCAACGACGACGTGACGCATCTACTTCGGGTGGCGACAAGACTCTCATTGAACAGTTCAACAAGCGCATCGAGCGCTCGGGGCCTACGTCGTCAGCATTGGCAACAAGCAGCGACAACAAGGCGAGTGCCGAAAAATCTGCCGAGGATGACGAGGAGCCAATCGACTACTCAAAGCTTCCGGACAGCGACGACGATATGCGCCGCCGCGGGCAGCCCACGCGTCGCAGAGACGACCGCAGTCGACGTCGATCCCGGGATCGAAGTCGCGATCGAACCAGACGTCGGTCGCAGAGTCCACGCCGACGCAGTCGCAGTCGGTCCCGTCGGTCGCCGAGCCCGAAGAAGCCAAAGTCGGCGCCGGCGCCACGCCCGGTCGACCCGCAGCTCGAAGAGGAAGCGAAAAGACGCGCTGCGTTTTTGTACGGGTCATTGACAGCGCCCCGGGCGACGCCGGTCGTCACGGAAGAAATTGCCGTCGTCGAGGCGCCACCGACGCAGGCGCCGACGTCTGTTTTGACGGATGAAGTACCTCGTTTAGAGTCGGGTGTGATCGACTTGAACCAGCTTGCCGCGCGTGCGCTCAAGGCCAAGATGCGCGGCGACCTCGTCAGCTTCGAGCGCTTTACGGCGAAACTGAATGAAGCCGAGCGCGACGAAGTGCACGCATCTGCGCCGGCCATGGCATCTCGTCAGCGCGCCCGGGTGCCAATGCGGCCCGAGGATCTCAAATGTGGCTCCAAGAAGGGCAAGCGGAACGCTGTCGAGAGCGGCGCAAATTTGAGTCTCGAAGAGCTCGTTCGCAACGAGCGCAACGCGCCAGATATGGACTCTGTTCACGCGCAGAACGTCATGCGGCTGGGGACGCGCTACAATCACTCAGACGGCAAAGGGGCAAGTGCGAGCGGCCTCGACGAAGAAGACGCGGTCGACATGCGTCTGTACCGCGATGCGAAGGACCGTCTCACGGAGCGCGCGTTCGTCCAGAGCTCGGAGCGGCAAATGCTCAAGAGTCGGATGCAGTGGGACACGGCCATGCAGCGCTGCTGGTTCTGTATGAAGAGCGAGAGCTTCAAGAAGCACCTCATGATAGCAATGGGCGAGTATGCGTACGTGGCGTTGCCGTCGACCGCGACGATCGTGCCCGGTCAGTGCATCATCGCCCCCATGGAGCACCTCGCGTCGACGACGGCGGCGGACGAAAACACGGTCGCCGAGATTGAGCGCTTCAAGAAGGTACAAGATTTTGTATTATTTGATCGCATAAAATGCACGGTCGTAGGCGCTGCGCTCCATGTGGGCGGCTTCAGGCTCCGCAGTTGTCTTTCTCGAGACGACGATGGACCCTGCCAAGAAGCGTCACACGGTCATCGAGTGCGTGCCCGTGCCGCTGCAATTGGAGCCGGATGTGCCCATGTACTTTAAGCAAGGCTTGGTCGAATGCGACGAAGAGTGGGCGACGCACAAGAAGATCATCGACACGACCGAGAAGGGTCTCCAGCGCTCGATCCCGCCGGTATGGACGACTCGTATCGCTTCTGGCAACCTCGTCACGAGTGAGTGGTGTAGCAATTCGCCTACTTTCACGTCGAGTGGTCGAACGGCGGGTACGGCCACATCATTGAAGACGCGGCGCAATTCCCGAAAGACTTTGGAGTGGACATCCTCTCGGGCATCCTCGAGGTCGACCCGCGCCGGTATGGCAAGTACCACGCATCGTTTGACGCAGAGAAGGACCGCGTCCGCGACTTCCTCGCGATGTGGCAGCCGTTTGACTGGACGCAAGAGCTCGACGGCGGCGAGTACGCGACGTAGGGCCGCGACCAGCGATAACGTGGAAATCCGTGGCCGCGTCGTGTTAGAATCGTCTTGACTACTACTCGTACACGGAACGCTCTATTATAGTTTGACGTACAAAGCACGGAGGGACGACTACGACGTCGACATGAGCGTCCGGAATCGCTGCAAGTCGGTGGGCTCGAGAAGCTTTTGCGCAATCGCACGGCTGTGCCACACGAAGTCGCTCGGCGCTGCAAAACTTTCAAACCGCTTTCGCTTCAATGGGCGCGGGGACGGACCGCGGATCATCATTGACTGGACATGGCACTTGGTGGCGCGTCGTCGCCAAAGGCGGTACGTCCGCTGAAGCACCCGGGCGGCGTGGGCGCGCTCCAAGTGCTCAGATATTGAGAACGCCATGTCGACATCTTCGTCGTCATCATCGCAGAGTGCGTCGCAGTCCATGGAGAAGGCATCTTCACTGCCATCTGTCTCATCCTCGCTGTCCCAATTGTCGGCAATGGACGCAAATACGCACGACCGGCGCCGGGTGTGCAGTAGCTCAGTGGCTTCGCGTCCCGACGGCAGTAGTACGCGACGCGGTGTAAAGGCTGCGGGGGGTGCTGGTGCCGAGGCGCGAAGCGCCATCACGACGCGGTCAACGACGTCTTCGACGTTGGCGGTGAAGCGGGACATCGCTTCCCGAAGCATGTGCCAAGGCGCAGCATACGAGGAGATGCGCTTCTCATCGGCCATGCTGCTCGTAGTTGCTGCTGCTAGTTAAGGAATGGCTTCGTCCAGCGCTGTATGACGGGGCGCATGCGACCATCATGCGGCGTCGCCCGTGGATATCGAAGCTGAGATCCTTTCCACTCGTGCTGACTGCTTATTGGCACAGGCGAGAGTACAAGAGCATTCTGATTGGTCAAATGAAACACCGAAACGCCTTGTGCGTGTTTATTGGCTGATAAAAATTTGCTCGCAGCCAATCCACGCCGCGTACGAGTGGAAGATTCGAGCGAACGCAGCACGGTGGAATACCAGGACGTCGCCATGTGTTTAAAACTTAATCTGATGTCTTGTGTTTTTACGGCGGACAGGAGACACGTGCAGTCATGCACTCTGGCGTTCGTCTTTGTTCTGCCGCCAAGACACGCAGGACAAGCGAAAAACAGCCCGGGGCAGATGCCGCGATGTGTCGCCGATACTCTTGGCTCAGACCTCGCTCGTGTCGCGTAAATGCGTCCAGCGGTCGCTGCCTCGAAACCTGGTCGGCAGTCCTCGCCAGTCTACGAACTCGACCGAAAAGTCTAGAAATGCCAGATATGCAACAAGTAGCGAGTACTGGGCAGGCGTCGAATGCAGTGTTAAGAATATAAGTCGTCCAAAGCGTCGACGCAACGTCGGGATTAAAGACCGGGTGCATTACTACTACCGTGGTCTTGGTGACGACGCGCTGTCCACCGTGGCAAGATGGCGCGGCGCAGTTCTAATACAAAGCACAGTCGTTCTTCAAGAAGCTGCCAATGTCCAGCGCGACTTAGTAGCGAAATAGCGAAAAGAACGTCGTAGAAACATCGCGAATGGGCAACTTAACGGCACGTTGAATGTGGTAGATTTGTGGACAGTAATGGTGTTTAATTCACGTGTACTGTACACCTGGGCGAAAGCTGCAGATGCCACGTTTCTCGTACTTTTCAATTTGCCGAGTCCGAAGGAAGCACGGGAGATATGATGTCGACGACCAGCTACTCGTGGTGCGAGGCGTCCGTCGCCAAGGCCCAACGCCGCCCGTCGGCGATGCGCCGTGCTGCACCCAAGGCCCGCGGCCTCAACAAGGCCAAGCCGCAGGTTATGCCGCCCCGCAACGCGCTCCAGACGCAAGTCCGTGACCTCCAGAAGACCAAGAAGGCCCTTCAACAGCGCCCTATGCGCAAGCGTTTGGAAGTCGAAGCCTTTGTCGCGACTATGCCGCGTCTGGCTTGCTTCTAAGGAGGCACTCTAATGTGCGTGAACTATGAACCTCCTCCATGTTGTGACCACCGACTATTTAAAACCCTAAAAATGAAGCCTTCCTCTCCTCACGAAATCCTGGTTTGAGATGTATAGCTGCGCATGTTCGAGCATAGTGCTCCATTAACTTGTCATTTGCCAAGTCGAGGAAGTCAAGTCCATTTGGCCAGTATCTACTCTAGTACCAGGTACTACTTCGAAGAAGAGCCAAGTACGGCTTCTCTGAGTTGTGTACGTTCGATCAAAGAACAATCTGGTTCAGAATTGCACCACAACGTCGTATTTCGAGTACAATATTCGAGCACAGTTGCCCCAGTATTTTCGTTGCGACGGATTTGGGGTTGTCCATCAATGGATACGCAATGACAAGCAACAAAACGCAGCGGGCAAGGCAGGACTTGTCCTTCCGTGCAGCGCCAGCGATCTCGCCGAAGGATTGCATCTCCTGCACTATCATTCTGTTGTCAGTACCCGAGCGAGCTCAGTCCGTAGAGAAAGCACACTGTGTGGGCGAGGAAGCACGAGGAGTCCGGGCAAAAATGTCGGGTGCAAATTGCACTAATAGTTCAGGTGCTTGGATAATTACCTCTTTTCCCATGACCGTTGGTCTGCCCAAGTATAGTTGGTGCCAAGAGCGAATTTGGTTTGAAATAGTCGCTATCTTTAGCTTCCCTATCCGTGGGTTCAGATACGCTCACTTACGATCCGTCGCTGCATGGCCACGAGGTGTATGCGTGACCCGACGGCAGCACCAGCACTCGAGTACGTGCTGGCAGCCACGCCAAAGGCGAGCCGCGTCACGTCGCCACCACCGTCGCCGTCGAGCAGCAAGAAGAAAGCCACAAACTCAAAGCGCAAGCCCGGAGAGTCGGTCTCATTTTCGCAGCTCTTTCGGTTCGCGGACCTGACCGACAAGGGCCTTATGGTCGTCGGTACTCTCTGCGCGATAGCCACGGGCTGTGCGCAGCCGCTGCGCATCCTTCTCTTCGGTGGTGTCGTGTCGGCCTTCAACCCCACTGGCGTACAGCTCAAATGCAATCCATAGCGTGACTTATCGTTCCGTGGATGTAGACAAGCGACATGCTAAGCCAAGTCACGACGATTTGCCTCACGTTTGTGGGCATGGGCGTCGGTGTCATCATTTGCGGGTTCGGTCAAGTTGCGTGCTGGAGCTACACGTCGTCGCGCCAGGCGCAGCGGCTCCGCGCGTGCTACATTGACGGCATCCTCAAGCAAGAGATCGGCTGGTTCGACGTCAACAACCCGCAGACGCTCTCTAGCAAGGTCACGGAGACGATCCTCCTCATTCAGGACGGCATCGGGCGCAAGGTGGGCGACGGCTTCAACTTTTTCGCCATGTTTGTGTGCGGCATTGCGATCGGTTTCAAGTCGGGCTGGAAGCTCTCGCTTGTCGTTCTTGCCTTCCTTCCGCTCTTGGCGACGGGCATCTTTACTATGGTCAAGACGGTCGCGGCCGCGGTCCAGCGCGCGATCAAAGCCTACGGTGCTGCCGGTGCCGTCGCGGAAGAAGCGCTCAGCAACATCCGCACGGTGCACATGTTCAACGCGATGGCCGCGACAGCCAAAAAGTACGACGATGCGCTTGTCGAGGCCGAGGCGGCAGGCATCCAGAAAGGCCTCATGTCGGGGGTCAGCGGAGGCTTTACCTTTTGCATGATTTTCGTGACGTACACGGCCGCCATCTCGTACGGCGCAGTCTTGGTCGCAAATGACAACCTCGAAGTTCCGAAATGCACGAGCGACTGCTACGACGGAGGACGCGTCCTCGTCGTCTTTTTCGGTGTCATCATGGGTGCCATGGCACTTGGCCAAGCTGGACCATCAATCGAGGCGACCGCGTCGGCGCGTGCAGCAGCCTTTGACGCATACGCCATCATGGACCGGGCGTCGGCGATCGACCCGATGGCAACGACGGGCCGGCGTCTCGACCACGTGGATGGCCAGATTACGCTTGAAAACATTGTGTTTGCGTACCCCAACCGCCCCGAAGTCCAAGTGTGCGACGGATACAGCTTGGACATTCGCGCGGGCGAGAAGGTCGCGCTTGTGGGTCCGAGCGGGTCGGGGAAGAGTACGATCGTGTCGCTTGTCGAGCGCTTCTACGACCCTGTCTCTGGCGTCGTTAAACTCGATGGTGTTGACTTGAGGGAGCTCAACACGCGGTGGCTGCGGTCGCAAATTGGCCTCGTCGGCCAAGAACCGTGCTTGTTTGCTGATACAATCGCCAACAACATTGGTCACGGCAAGCCGGGGGCGACGCTCGATGAGATCCATGAGGCTGCGCGCCAAGCCAACGCGTACGACTTTATCAAGAGCTTTCTCGGGGCTTTGATACAATGGTCGGCGAACGCGGCACGCAGCTCTCGGGTGGTCAAGTATGGAACTTTTTGTCTGAGAAATGTCTCTTCACCCGTTTGTAGAAACAACGCATCGCGATAGCCCGAGCAATTATCAAGAATCCGGCCGTGTTGCTCCTGGACGAAGCAACGTCCGCGCTTGACACGGAGAGTGAGGGCATCGTACAGGCATCGCTTGACAAGCTCCTCGAAGCGCGGAAGCGCACGACGATCATTATTGCACATCGCTTGGCTACGGTCCGGGATGCCGACCGTATCGTAGTCTTGGACGGTGGGTGCGTCATCGAGCAAGGGTCCCACGACGAGCTTATGCGGCTTCAAAACGGCCAGTACCGCATGCTTGTCGAAGCCCAGTCCCGAAAAAGCCCAACGAAGCGGACGGGCAGTGTAATGGCTTTTGCGGGTGCGAACGACGACGTTGCGACCGTTGGTTCGTGCGTGTTGTCTATCTTGCCGACGACACCCGCGAATCCAACGCCAGTGGCTGCCACCGAGGAGTTGCCGTCGACCAAACTGCACAAAGTGTCTGCATCACGCATCTGGGCCCTAAGCCAGCCGGAGCTGCAGTACACAATCCTTGGCGCCATCGGATCGGTCATCTCGGGTGCGACGTTTCCGGTGTGGGGCGTGCTTTTGTCCAAGTGTATTGTGCTTTTCTTCGACTTTAACTTGACGGCAGACGAAATGAAGACGCGGGGTTGGCACTGGGGCTGCTACTTTTTGATCCTTGGTGCCACCTACGCATCTGGTAAGATCGCGCAGGACTATGGCTTCAGCGTCGTCTCGGAGCGCCTCACGACGCGCATTCGCGCCATGGGTTTTGCCGCCATGCTGCGCCAAGAGGTTGGGTGGTACGATCTGCCCGAACACTCGTCCGGGGCGCTTACGACCAGCCTCTCGACCGACTGCGCCATGATGCAAAAGATTTCGGCCGACCTCCTCAAGAACGTGCTCAACATGGCGATGTGCCTCCTCACGGCTTTTGCGATTGCGTTCTACTACAGCTGGCAAATGACGCTCGCGCTCCTCGCCGTCTTTCCGATGCTCGCGTTTGCGAGCAAGATGCGCGCCAAGTCGATGCAAGCCGACGAAACCAAGGAGAATCCCGGAGACCTTCTTGCTGGTGCGCTCCTCTCGGAGACGATCAACTCAATTCGCACCGTCGCATCGTTCAACATGGAGTCTGCCATCGCAGCCAGCTACTGCAAGCACGTGGCTGTCGCAATCAAAGAAGACCAGCGGGCCGCGCTTCTTGGTGGTCTCATCTTTGGTGTTGCCCAGAGCATGATGTTCTTCGCGATGGCCTTCCTCTTCTACATCGGCGGCTACATGATCTCGCACGGCATCATCACGTTTGAGCAAATGTTTATGGTGCTCATGGCCATCATGATGAGCAGCTTCGGCGTCGGGCAGGCGGCGCAGAGCCTCGCTGAGCGCGGCAAGGTCGCGCACGCTGCCTCGAACGTTTTCTCGCTCATCGACCGCGTGCCCAAGATCGACGCCATGTCGACGACCGGACGGACACTGGACCGCGTCGCGGGCACGATCGCATTTGAAAGCGTTCAGTTTGCGTACCCTGCTCGGCCCGACTCGCGCGTGTACACTGACTACAACCTCGTGATCGAGGCTGGAACAACGGTCGCGCTTGTTGGCGCCAGCGGCAGTGGCAAGAGCACGGCCATCGGACTTATCGAGCGCTTCTACGATCCGCTGGCCGGTCGCGTGCTTCTTGACGGCGTGGACCTCCAAGAGTTCAATCTCAATTGGCTCCGCGAGCACATTTCACTTGTCGGCCAAGAGCCTGTGCTCTTCACGGGTACGATTGCCGAAAACATTTTGACAGGCAAGCCGGGCGCGAGCATGGCCGACGTCGAAGCTGCTGCCAAGATGGCCAACGCCCACGAGTTCATTTCCAAGTTCCCTGACGGGTACCACACGCACGTCGGTGATCGCGGTGTGCAAGTGTCTGGCGGCCAGAAGCAGCGCATTGCCATTGCACGCGCTATTCTGAGGGATCCGGAGGTCCTGCTGCTGGACGAAGCCACGAGTGCGCTCGACAACGAAAGCGAGCGCATCGTGCAAGCGTCACTCGACGCGCTCTTGAAAATGAAGAAGCGCACGACCGTGATTGTGGCGCATCGCCTCACGACGATCCGAGACGCAGACAAGATTGCCGTCGCGCACGAAGGCCGCATCGTCGAGCTAGGCACGCACGATGAGCTCATGGCCATCGGGGGCATCTACAAGACGCTCGTGGCGCGCCAAATGGCAGCGACGGAGTCGTAGATGTCGTCCCACTTTGCGCAAGCGTCAGTTGTGTTGAATCTATTGCACTTGTCTCCCGAAGTACATGTATTTCAACTGAAGAGCACTAACGACGCAATGGTGGACGCTTGCGCATTGTGCCGACACGACGACCCCGAACGGGTGTTTCGTGCTTTTGTGGGGTGGTTCATCCATGCAGTTGGCATCATTTTTCAGAGGTGGCGCTAAACCAACGGTGGCACAACCTTCCTGCACGCCGTGTCCACTGCGAACGCAATTTGTTGCGGCCGCGACGGCGGACCGAGCTTGGTTGCAGTTCGCAGTGGGCTTGATCTTTCTCCTTCAAGCTTCTCGCTCGCGCTTGATCTTTTCGGACGTTCAACGACCGCTTCGTGTTTCGTAAGCCGATCATGCACCTCGCCTGTCGCACGCACCCGTCGTCGGAGTTCCGGATACAATACTTTGTTTCCGGATGATGAAGCGCTGGCGCAGCACGGTAGCGGCGGCGCGTCAGCGGCTCATGGCGCGAGGGCTTCCGCGCCTCGATGCAAGTGCTCTCGTGCGCTACGCGTTCGATCCACCGATGAGTATCGAAGCCATGCTGTTGGCGCCGATGACGCCGGTGCGAAGATGCTCGTGGAACGACGCGGCTCATCGTCGTCGGCGTAGATGAGTGACGAGCAACGGTCGTTCGTCGATGCGTTGGCTGCGCGTCGTCTGAAGGGTGAGCCGCTGGCCTACGTTCTCGGTACGAAGGAGTTTTGGTCGTTGTCGTTCAAGGTTACGCCGGCGACGCTTATCCCAAGACCGGAAACGGAGCGGCTACTGGACATCTTGCTGGTACTTGTCCGTTCGACGATGACGACGGACGTCAAGTGGATGCTGTAGCAAAAGCGACAAGACAAGCAAGAGGCGCTGCGTGTACTGGACCTTGGCACCGGCAGCGGTTGTCTCTTGGTCGCAGCGTTGACCGAGTACCCGCGCGCGACGGGCGTCGGTGTCGACGTCTCGGCCGCGGCGCTGGACGTCGCGTCATCCAATGCTACTGCGCTTGGCGTTGCCACCCGAGCGCGTTTTATGGAGCACGACATGACCACCTTGGAGTTGCACGAAGACTTTGACGTTGTGTTGTGCAACCCACCGTACATTGCCGTCAGCGAAGTTGACGTCATGGATGCCCACGGTACGAAATGCCAGAAGACGTTCCAATATAGATGTGTATGTGGTAGTGCTGGCGTACGAGCCCCACTCGGCACTCTTTGCCGACAACAACGGTTTGGCCGTGTATGAGGCTTTGATTACGCGGCTTCTTTCCCTCGTCGCACCTGGTGGCGACGTGCTACTTGAAGTCGGGTTCGCCCAAGCCAGCACGGTAGCGTCGCTCTTTGAAGGTACACCTGCCTGGTCCGCGCCACGCATTGTGTATGATTTTTGCGGCGTTCCGCGCTGCGTGGCCGTACAGCGGTGTCAGGATTAAGGCCGATGTCATTCATAAAATGTAAATACATTGACTTTACATCGAGGTTTTGCAACGACGACGACGATGACACACTGTCTTTCTATCGGGATAAATAGGCTTCCAAGGTTGGCGTCGTCGGCGATTACACTTCCTCGACACACCCAATGAGGTAGTCGAGTGATTCTTCAAACGTCATGTTGTCGAGCATGAGCATCTGCATCTGGCACTCGGAGACATCCGTGACGTCGGTAGGCGACGCGGCTGACGTTGGCGTTGGCGTGGGTGTCATTGCGACCGGATCGACGGCTTCGAAGGTGATCGACTTGATCTCGTTGTAGACGGCCTCCATGACGTCTTGCGTCTTCTTGGTCTTGGAGCCCGGGCCCTTCTTAAGGCCACGCATCTGGCGGAACAGCTTCTCGCGGTACTTTTGCGCGTGCGTTTGTGTCTGGCGCGGGGTGCGCGTGCCGACGTAGCTAGCGATTGCCTTCCACGGGCCCTTGGGATACAGCTCGAGCGCAACAAGAAACCGCTTGTGCTCGAGCTCGGACCACGCACCCGAGACGGCAGGGCGCTCTTCCTTGACGGTGGTCGTCATGACTGGGAGCATGCTCTGCGGAAAGAAGTACATCATGCTGTGTGGGCGCCTTGGTAAGTTCACAAATGACTTTTCCTCTGATTCTCGGCCGCTCCTACGCTGAGACACGTGTAAAGAGCCGGTTGCAGGGCGGCCTTAGCTCAGGTGCCGATCCTGGCATCGTCCCACGATGGCGAGTGATTGGGAATGGAGCGTGCTTATTGGCTGAAATAATGTGCTGCAATACGTTTGATTGGGTGAAAAAAGGAAAGGCCCGGCCGTCATGGCGCCGTAATCGCTCGAAAACAGATGCCACTGTTCGCGTGTCAAGAAGCCGACCCAGACGGACGACCAGCTGGCGTCGCCAAGTGAGTACACTAGGGTTTTGTATACGCAAATGTCGAGCAGGATGGGAGGCACGCCGGCATCAACGTTGCCATTTCGCGGTGCACGAGGCAACATGGGAGACGCCACTCGACGTACAGTGTGGCAGCTGGCGTACAATTAATTTGTAATGCGAGCATAACTTGAAGTTGGAACGATCGTCTGGCCGCGGCGGTGGGTAGACCGTAGGATGAGAAGGAAGGGGGCATCGAATTGGAAATAGATCAAGACCAAACATCCCTGATCAGCCGCCGTCCACTGTCGTACTGCAAGAGAGATCAAGACCGAACCACCATATGGCTTCGCACGACGCCCAATTGACAAGCTTTGTGTCGCACGGCCGTGCTTGCGAGAAAAAGAGATGAAGAGATGGCAACGCCGGCGTCTTTGTAGGGAAGAAATCATTGATCGTCGCGCAGCTGGCATCAAAACTGTTCACAAGACAGGCAGAGTAGGCGATCGCCATAAACGTCATCCAAGAATCGCTTCCTCTTCGCCAATACTGCCTCCTAACTGTAAAAGCGTAACAGAAGAGGGAACCACTGATAACGCCGATGCAACGCTGTAATAATTCCCTACGCACCTCACATGCCCGCGACACTCTACAGCGAGATATCTGACATGCCATTGGCAGGTGCCTATCTCCACGTGGCCACGCAGGTGCGCCAAGGCAAGCGGAGAGATTGGTCGCCCTGGGTATAATGCGCTCCTTTGTCCCGGCTGCATTGAGAATGGCTGGACCGAAAGATCAAGACCACATTTTCCATGCCCTAATTGGCTTATCCTGATCGGTCTCAGATTATGGGCGCATAATCCCTGCTGTGACGATCCGACGTGCAAACGGCGAGTCGTCTTGCGACCGTCGCAAGCTGTTGTCGAGATTCGATCGTCGTACAAAGCTCAAGTATTTTGGACAGCAAGAGAAACAGCGATACGTATTCTTTAAAAGGCACATGTTTGACATAGGTTCGTGTACAAGTACATTGTCTACTACTGTACCAATGGTCTTCAGAGAATTGAAACAAGTCCTACGATACGAATGAAGCTGCGGCCACCTGGTCACAGCGCACGCCAATCATCGCATACTATATAGTCGACGTGTCAGCTACATTACAGAGTGGTATTTGCAAGCATTTGATTCACAAGGGATCAAAATGGAGTCACGTCACAACACACTCAAGAAGTTTAGATATGACTCATGAGCACAGAACCAGGAAGTGGGATTACACACCTTGAGCAGCTCTTTGTGCTACAAACGGTACCACTAATACATGTATACCACAATACATGTAGTCGTCCCTCCTTCCGCGATACGGTGACTTCGTGTACCGGGTCGCGCTGAAGGCCGTGGACGTCTGAACCAGCTTGCACTTTCTCGGCCACGATGCTCGACACTGCCTTCTCTGCGATGCACAAGCCCGTGAAACGAACGACCATCTCTTGGTGCGGTGCCCATACGTCCGAGTAATCTGGTGCGCCTTTGCGGGACATTTTGCAGATGCAACTCCCGTCGTCGGTCGCTGGCCTTCTCGTCGGTCGCTGGCCTTCTCTACGACGATGTCGCCGCGCCGTACTCGGTCCACAAGTCCTCCATTCGTGCCCTCTCGCCGATCTTACGCGCGTGCGTTTGGTATCGCTTTGGCTCGAACGCAACAACCGTGTCTTCCGCACGACTCTGACGCAACTTCCCGCTGCCGCGCTCGCGATCCGGGCAGCTACCATCGCACGACTGCACGTCCGGCACTTGGCCCGTCGCGCTGTGGTGCCATCTCTTGACACGTCGCTGGTCGCTCTCCGCGACGACGCTTGGTGTGCACGCTACCTGGTCCCTCGCACAACCTCGAATCACGACCACTAACGCTCCTCGCTGAGGCACCGGCCCAGCCTCACGAGCGCATTAGGAAGTCCACAATATCTTTATAATTGCATGTAATATAACTTGGTTCAACAACAACAACAACAACAACAGTCGTCCCTATTTTACGCTTGACTCGAAGGGAAAATGACAGAACTGATGAACGTGGGCCCAAATCAACCCAAACCTGGGTAAATTGCATAAAAATACATAGACTTGGTTTTACTATTGGGTGGCTCGGGGTGGCTCGGGATGGCTCGCCTCGGCGTCTTCACATAACGTTACCCCTCTCCTCCTACGCATCCTTAACCGCAAACACGGCATGTACAACAATCCTTTAACCTTCCTCAACCCTCACCTACCCTTCCCTGCGACTACCTTGCCAAACAACCCCAATACCCTGCCGGGATCTTCAGCGAATGGTTATTTTTCTCCAAATTCCTGTTTTGACGCAGCTTTTACCAAACACACCCCAGTTCTGTCATTTTCTGTGACTCGAATGAATGCATCGCTCTCGGCTCGTTTTCGTAGAAAAACAATGGCGGTCGGTAAAGAAGTACCAGCACCGTACGCAGAAAGGCAATCGATGACATGTACCGCTGCGTGCTGTCATGGTGTCAGTAGATAGCGATCCGACAGGATCTAGGACACGGCAAAAACACGCTGATACATACTACTAGGACGTAGTAAGAATGAGCACGCACGCGTGCACCGGTATACATTTTTACAAGCACCGACAACTCTTTCCAGTATTCTACCCCAAAGAAGAGAAGAGAAGGTATACTAAGCGGTGCATTGATTGGTCTTCCCAATCTTGCTCCGCTGAGGCTTGACTGTGCGTGAGTACCGGTAGTGGGAAGAAATCACGAGCTGCTGGTTGATCAAGTACTGTAGCTTGACGAGTGGACCACATAGGAGAAAAAAACCATGGTAGTAATCCCAGTAATAAACCGCCTGACAAGAAGAAAAGGTGTACTAATACTATACGTGCATTGCGATATACAGTGTATTCTACGCAAACTGCTGCCATGCGGAAGCCCTTACACCCATTCTTTGGACGTCCCACCAAAATCAGCGGTCACGACATCGACTGTGAAAACACATGTTGGCCCGCATTCCACAGGTTTCTAACGGACGGCTGTCAGAGCTCATCGTATTGTTGTGCCGCATCGATATGTCGCACCCAATTCAAAACGGTTGATGAAACCCAGTGAGCCCAGTGAGTGGCTTCTCGTGTAGAATATAGTACCGGTACTTGGGTTCGTGCAGTTTACCCCAGGAATTCATGCGCAGCGAAGATGAAATTCGGGCTCAGTCCAAAGAGGCTTTATGAAGTTACGTTGCTGCCACTGATAGGTCCCCTACCCTTCAACCGAATACATGGGAACACGCACGTTTGACGATGCACGAAGAAATTGATTTCCCAGGCAAGACGTTGTGCAAGTTACCATCTGATCGCCAGATAGTACACTAATCCTGCTTGGCTTCTCGAACTTTTCTGCAACTGCTCCGATGAAAAATGCGATATGCAGAACCTGTACAAAGAAGCCTATCGCCCGCTGGCGATTCCTTTGCATAGTAGCTCATCCCGAAGACAGATTAGCATTACGAAAACATTGAAAGCGGTGTCCCATACTCAAATGATGGATGTGCGGTACCGGTATCTGTCAGCTCATAGGCAGATTTAATCCGAGGGCCAAAAGCGCTTCGTTTGCCCTTGCTTTTGGCGAACGGTGTAGGCTCCAACCATCATATGTGAACGCGTTTCACGTTGTTTCCGTGTGACAAGATTTTACGAGCAATCTCCATCACTCGGTTGCCGGGCCGCCGCAACGCAACTGGTGGCAGGAGAGCTCACCTTGCCAATATGTCGTCGCATGGCCGCTTGCGGCCCGGGTGAGCCGCATGACAACACGTCGCACGAGGTCCATCGAAACTTCGAGATCTTGAGCAAAGCTACGCAGATTCTTGAGCTTGTCGATAGACGCCAACGGTAGGAGGTCGCAGTCAAGACGACCGATAGCTTGAGATTCGTGCGGCCTAAACATAGGGATGATTCGGCGGATTGGAAACGCACGGTGGCGGTGTTAGGACGGACGTCTTGTCGTGGTGAGCAACGCTTCGATTCAGCAGCAAGCTGGCCTGGCGCGTGCAGAGCGCGACGTCGACTAGCGTAAAAACACCGAGTACTGTAGCTAAGAGTTTCAAACGCAAGTGCATGGGGAGACAAAGGAGGTTCGTGTTGGGAGGCCGCCCATGAAGGTACTGGTGGGTGGCATCCCCAAAACGGGCGCGCCTGCCGATAGGAAGCTTGAAGCGGGAGAAAACTTGGGGACATAGTTGGCGCGGGCGTAGACTTAGTAAGCGTTGCTGCTCACCTACCGAGAGTCTTAACTTTGAGGTCCGAGCAGCTCGCTAGCAGCATGGCGGTTGTTCCACCGAGTGCGACGATGGTCTTCCGTGATAGGGAGCTGACACAGACAGGACTATGCCGAACTGGACAGGAGACATAGACTTAACAGAACCACCAACGCTCCTCACTTGACGCAACAGCCTGCCTTACAATGTCAATACATTTAATTGCGTTAATCAACTAATCAGTACTGGCTGTAAGCTCAATACATGAAGATTCTCGCATACTAGTATGTGCATGGAAGTATTAGATAGCGTCGTGCGTAGGGACGTCGGGACAAGCGTCAACTATCGCCCCGGTCAGTATAGTCCAATGCTCCTTGTTTGCAGCTTGCCGTGAGGTATGCGAGGCACGAGAGTGGAAAGGAAGAGTACATGTGTTGCACGGGAAGTACGCGCCAGTCTAATTTTGGTTGGCTTTGGCAGCCGGCTATTCGGACGTCCACGGTCGCCGCCGAGACGACGCGGCGTCCGAGCATGACGAGCCATGACGAGACACTGGCTGCGCGCGCGGTAGGTGCAACGTGCGAGATGGATGGGAAGCAGCTAGCCCAATAACGGCGATCGCAAGAGGTGGGATCCAGCGACGCTGAAAAAGCAGTCGCTCGTCGAGTGGCGACCGTAAGTCCAAGGGCTAGAAAGCTGTGTACATGCATGTAGCCTTGAGCGACGAGCGTCTCGATATGCGCAGTGTTGTCTTTGGCGAGCCTCTTCGAGTTTGCCAGACAAAGGAAGATGTGCGTTGTACCAGAGCGGAAGACGCTGCAGCGACATGCACAGCGAGCCATGCATGGTGTAGACACGTGAGGACCATTTGACGAGACCTATTACGAACGTACCGGTAGGCTAGACACTGTGAGGACGACCTTGACCGCCGAGTGGTCCTTGGTGGCATGAAGAAGGTCGCCAAATGGCCTCATGGTTGGTACGCCGCATCCACAAGCGCGACACTTGCAGCGGTCCACGCAGTCGGGTCGTCCAACCATGCCTTGACAAAGCGTAGCGTCATTGAGGAAATGCGCGATTGTCAGAGATCGTGCACTCGAGAAATTCTGAGGCTGTCGTGGCGCTCGGCCAGGCAGTCAAGATCTTGGACAAAAGGTCTGTGTGTTTTACGTCGAGCGAGTGACCGGTTCATCGTGGATGTAGGATGATCGACTTGAGCTGGAACGAGGCGTCGGGAGGAACCCACGTGAGCTGATACCGAAGAATCGGCAGTCAGACCGCCTGCAAGATGACTACCTTACCAATGAGCGAGCGTGTTTGGTGCGATTAGAGCTGGGACGATCACAAAATTTCTGAAGCGCATAATCTTAATGCACTTGCGAAGTCGACCATGATGTCCAGTGCTTTGGCAGGAGTGGCTGGCGCGAGCGGGAGACGTGGCGTGTAAACGGCACATGCCGGAACAAAGTTGTCGCGTAGCCATGCGTCGTGCCGCAGGGCTGCCATCATTAGGAAGAGGCACAATGCTTGAGTGTTCAGCAGCAGGTGTTGGAGGTCACGGGTAACGAGCTGCTTGTCATCGGCAAAGCAACTGACGACATGTTGCTTACCGTTGTTCGTGACGTCGAGGTGGCAGTGCGACCGGAGCAATTCGGTTGAGAGCGAGGGCCAGGACCAGAGACGACGGCAGGTCGCATTGGAGCACGCCGCGTCCAATCACAAACGGCTTGACGTGCAAGGACGCGTAAACACCACGATAAAGCCCTCCACGGTGCCGTTCTTATCGCGCCAAGCGAGCGGAGGCATCGCGACGGCTTCGACCTATATTGATCTACTTACGTGAGCACAGCGGCATCTCGTTCGAACGGACTTACCGTACTGTCACGGTACTCGGGTGCTGATGCAATCATGTTGAAGTTCGCTGTGGCAGCATCATCCAAGTCCTCAACACGATCTGCGACTTGGGTGGACCATTGTAGCCACACATTTCCCGATACCAGCCAATGGTATCCATCGCTCAGCTTAAATTCCGGCACTACCAGAATCGAGAATACCCTGCGCAGCCTATCCTGCGCTCATCGGCTATCGGTAAAGGACATGGCGTAGGAGAAGCGTTCCTTCGGCCACGATGCTAGGTAGCATTCTTCGGGAAGGCTTTCCGACCAGATCTTTGGAACATCTTGCTTGGCGTGTGGAAGATGCAATCGACGCCAATTTCTTTGGCTATTCAATTCGCGCTTGCTTGAAACTCGCCGCACTCCGAAGCAGCAGGCATAATAGACCATGCTTCGAGCGTCGTCGCCGCCAGCGCTAAGAGTACCAAGCGGCTGGAAGGCGCCGTGGTCAGTCGGCCAACTTCAACCCCAACTGCTTACGAAACAGCGCCATCAACAGACTTTGCCCAATAAGATCGCAGCGGTATCCTTGGCATTAAATACCACAGCTTAATTATAGCTTCTTGTTTGTATGGTGTTGCGAATAAAATGCGATCGACACGAGCAGGATAGGATTTATTTTAAATCGTTTTAATGTTCACTTGCTCTTTGTATGCATGGGCAGCGATCGACTTCGAGGCGTGACGTGTGCGATGCTGAGCATTTTTCGATTGCACGTGTCATGGGCGGCGCCGAATCTGTGCCGAGCCGCGTCTTCTCGCACGAGATCCCCGGGACGGTCCAGCCCGGCTTTGGCGGCATTCGCGTTAGCGCCGACAGCTTTCCCGTGCCCGACGAGATCGCGAACCTCTGGGCCAACTTCAAGGTGGGCATGGAGCAGTCGCCCAACTCGCCGTACCTCGGTACGCGGTCGCGCGACGCCAATGGCAAGGCCGGCCCGTACACGTGGGTCTCGTACCAGGAGTCCCACGACCGCGCCGCGCGCATTGCGACGGGCTTGCGCAACCACTTGAAGCTTGCCCGCCAAGACATGCTCGGTATCTTCTCCAAGAACCGCGCCGAGTGGGTCTTGACGGAAATGGCCTGCAACCGCAACAGCTTCGTACTCGTCCCGCTGTACGATACGCTTGGCCCGGACGTCATCCCATTCATTGTCAACCACACCACAATGCGTGTCATGATGTGCTCTGGTGATCTCGTCTCGAACGTGCTTGCGGTGAAGGGGCAGTGCCCGTCTCTCGACTATATCGTCAGCCTCGATGCTTCGGTACGTTATCGTCGCACTTGTGACTCCTAACCTCACTTGCCTCTCATTGAGTCTCTGTCTACAGATCAGCAGCCGCCAGCGTGCTGAGGCTGAAGGCCTGGGTGTGCAGCTCCTTACGTTGAGCGAGCTCGAGTCGGTGCCGGATGCTACAAGTACGTCGCGATTCAGTACTGAGACCATCATTAACACGTGCCTTTAGTTGCGGAAGAACCTGCTAAGGCGCACGAAATTGCCACGGTGTGCTACACCTCGGGGACAACGGGCGACCCAAAGGGTGCGATTTTGACGCACCGAAACTTTGCAACGACGGCCATGAGCATGCTTCACCGCTTGTCGGCGGACCCGTCGTTCACGCATTTGTCGTACCTTCCTCTGCCCCACGTGTTTGAGCGCGTTGTCCTGGTAGACAACACCTCGCAACGCATATCATGGTGCTCACGCACGACTAGGCTACTGTCACGCGCGCCGGTGCGTCTATCGGTTTCTACCAGGGAGATGTGCTCCATCTCATGGACGACATGGCGGAGCTCAAGCCAGCGCTCTTTGTGTCGGTACCGCGCCTCTTCAATCGCGTCTACGACAAGATCATCCAAGGCGTGAACGCCTCTGGTGGATTCAAGAAGATGCTCTTTGAGTACGCGTACGAGTCAAAGCGCCAAGGGCTCGCCGCGGGCTCCAACACGCATGCGCTCTGGGACACGCTTGTGTTTGAAAAATTCGCGCCGTTCTCGGTGGCCGCGTGAAGCTCATCGTGTCTGGCTCGGCGCCTCTGGCAGCCAACGTCAAAGAGTTCCTCAAGATCGCTTTCTCTTGTCGCGTCGAAGAAGGTTACGGGCTCACCGAGACGACGGCCGCGCTGACGCTCTCGATTCCCGAGATTCCGACGGGCGCTCACGTGGGCATGCCTCTACCCAACCTCCAGATCCGCCTCGCAGACGTCCCCGAGATGAACTACACGAGCACTGACAAGCCGCGCCCTCGCGGTGAGGTCTGGGTCCGCGGCCCGAACCTCTTTACGGGCTACTACAAGGACCAGGAGAAGACGGCCGAGTGCCTGACAGACGATGGCTGGTTCGCGACGGGCGACATCGGCTGTTGGAACGCCGACGGGACGCTGAGCCTTATCGACCGCAAGAAGAACATCTTCAAGCTCGCGCAAGGTGAGTACATTGCTGCGGAGAAGATTGAAAACATCTACGCCAAGTCGCCGTTTGTGGGACAAATCTTCTTGTACGGCGACTCGCTCCAGAGCTGTGTCGTGGCCATCATCGTGCCGGACCCGGAAGCGGTCCAGGCCTGGGCGGCGTCCAAAGGCATCAGCGATGGCACCAACCTTGACGCGATGGTCAAGCGGCCGGACCTCAAGGCCGCTGTGATTGCGTCGATGGCTGACGTGGCCAAGGAAGGCAAGCTCAACGGCTTTGAATGCGTCAAAGATGTTATGCTCCACGCTGACATCTTCAGCGTCGAGAACGGGCTCATCACGCCGACTTTCAAGCTCAAGCGACCGCAGCTCAAGGCTCGCTTCGAGGCCGATATCAAGGCGATGTACGCGGCGTTGAAGTAGAGGTGGAAGAAACCCAGGCGACATGTAATCGAGACGAAATAGTACTGTATGTATCCTGCGTGACGTTCAAGTCTCTAAGTCTGCGCGCGAGTGGCTTCAAGGTTCCGAGATGGCGTGGACGCAGACGTGCGCCGACGGGCGCTCCGGGAAGAGAGGGAGGTTGTGCTTGAAGCGGTTGATGTCGTGGATCACATGCGTACGGCGCCCTGGGGTCAAGGACTGATCAAGCACGAAAGACGCGACGGTGGCCGTAAGGTCTGTCGCAGCAAACGGTGGTGTCGTCGTCACAGCAGGCAGCTCAACGACATGATGCTTCCCAAGCATGTGTACGCTAAACTTGACGCGAAACTCGCCAAGGATGCACTCGTCCAAGAAGGCGACGACATCGGCGACGATGAGGGTCTTGACGGCCGCCGCCACGTCCACGCGGCGCGAGAAGCTGTATGTCTCGGCAGAGATTTCCTCCCAGAAGCGAGAGCACTCTTCGGACGCGGTCTTGGGCTTTTCTAGAAGCGTGTCGACGACAGCGTTCAGGTTCTTTTCAAACTCGGTCGCCGAAAGGTTCAGAATAGCAGCGCGCATCGAAAGCAAGAACGCGTCAATGCTGGCTTCAACGTACGCGGGCGGCGCGACGTCGGATTGCACGATGAGCCGGTAGTACTCGACACCGTGCGCGCGGTGGGTACTCGAGAAGACGATGTAGCCGAGCTGCTCGATCGTGCGCAATTGGTTGAAGCAAGGCTCTTTGGCAAGCTGCGCAAAGACCTCGTTCAGCGCACGGAGACGCGTCGACTCGAGCCCGAGCTGGAACATGGTGTGTACGCCCGAGTTGACGCTCTCCGGATTCAGCTCCGGGACAGCAAAGACGACGTCATGGCCGCGGCTGAGCTGCACAGCGCGGATCTTTTGGCGTTGCGCCGATACGAGCGGGCGAGCATGCATGGGCGCAAGGATAGCGTCGAGCCAAACGACCGCTGATGCAGCGTCGACGTTACCGTGGAAGTAGCTCTCAACGTACGCTTGGCGGAAGAGTGTCGTTGCGTGATGGCGCAAATCGTCCGTGGTAACGTGGGCGATGGCTGCGGCCTTCTCCGCGACCGTCCACTTCGTTGCCTCGAGCACACACGTGCTAAAGTAGAGCGCGTGCTTGTACGGATCTTCGCGCTCAAAGTTGTCGTAACTGCGCTTCGTCTTGTCGTAGATGCGCGTAAAGGTCTCGTCGTCAATCACGATGCTCGTCATTGTCTGCACGATGGCTGTCAAGAGCGCCGGGAGTTTGTCGCTGTAGCCGCCACCGTAGAGCTCCAGCGCCTTGGAGCTAAACGACATTGAGTAACGCATGCCCGCGAGCTCGGCGTCGTAAGTAATTTCGGTCAGCTTGTCTTTGACGGCACGCACAAACATGTCGGTGAGAACGGCGGTCGTTGGCGACACGTAAATCATCGGCGACTGCAGCGTCATGCAAATGTTGAGCTTCGGCTTGAGGAACGTCGTGTCTGTCTTGACCCAGAGACGCCCGAGCGCATCGTCGCGCAAGAGAACCGGCGTCGGCGACTGGGTCGGCGTCGAAACCAGTTCAAAGTTCTTTGGGATGAACGCGTTCGGGTGCGGAAGGACGAACGCCGCGTTGGGCGTCGGTGCAGACCAGCGGCGCACGAGCGCCGGATCCAGCGCGTCATTGCTGTAGTGCGATTCGTACCACGGCTCGACAAGCGGCGTCGAGTTGGCAAATGTCTTGCTCACGACCGTGAGGCGCATCCGCGCAGGCGAGAGAAGGCGGAGCACGTCGTGAACCTTCGTCGGGTTAAAGTCGTACAAGAGATAGCTCCCGGCGACGATGTGCTGGACCGGAAAGGTCTGCATCTTGGTAGCGAGTGAAGTTGCGTAGTGCATCGGCGTCTCCTTGCTCCGAAACCGAAAGTTCATGAGCGCAATGTTCTTGGCCTCATCAAAGACCCAGCGCTCGATCGGCGACGACGTCAGCAACGCGAGGTACTGGTAGATCGCAAATACAATGTCGTCAGTGTGCGCAATGCCTGCGTCCGTCGCCTCGACCTCGACGCAGAAGAGCGACCAGTCGTCGTGGTCCTTCATGAGACCCGCGGAGAGCTCGTTGACCCATTTTTGACCTTTGAGGTACGACAGAAGCGAACCTGGTCCTTCATGACCAAGGAGGTGCGAGAGAATGCTCGTCGGTTTCTCCAAGTACGCGTGGCGCATTGGCGGCAACGGCCACGCAACTTCGATCGTGCGGAGGTCCTTGACAGGCATCACGCGCAGACGGCGCTGAAGCTGAGGCGTCTCGAACGGTACACCGTCGTACTTGAACACCTTGGTGCCCGTGTCTGCGATAGGGCTAAAGAGCGCGCGCACCCAGCTCTCAAGCGTGTCGAGGTCTTCCTTGGCGACGACCGCGAGCTTCATGATACGTGCTGAGTAGTAGGTAGCGTGGAACGCCATGAGCTCAGCGCGTACATCTTCCTTCGCACGCGTGCCAAGTGTGACAAGATTGCCGGTACCGAACTTGTGGTACGGGTGCTTTGGGTTGCTCGTATGCTTGACGACTTGATCGAGACGCCACGCGTCGTTCTGTAGGTTCTTGTTGTTCTCCGAGTTGACCGCGTTCATCTCGCGCTCCGTGGCGCCGGGCGTGAAGAGTGGCGAGATAAAGAACTGCGCAAAGCGGTCGAGAGCCTCGTGGAAGTACGCAGGTCGCACGTCAAAGTAGTAGTTGGTGTCTGTGCCACTCGTGTACGCATTCGAGCTGCCACCGTGCGAGCTCAGATACTGGGAGTACGAGTTCTCGTCCGGATACTTCTCCGTGCCCATAAAGAGCATGTGCTCGAGAAAATGGGCGAGGCCCAAGAGGTCGTCCGGGTCGCTCTGATGCCCAACGCGTACATCCATGGCCGCAGCCGACTTTTCCGCATCGTTGTCCGAGACTAGCAGAGCGCAGAGGCCGTTCGGAAGCTCAATGTGACGGTAGTCGCGCTCGTCGGCGGCTGACACGTCGATACCTCCCTGGCTCTTGACGCTACTTTCCATCTTGCCTTCGTCACCGCAATCTGCAATCTGCCACGAATGGCAATCCAATGCGGCATGTGCCGAATTAAAGAATTATTATATGCGGCACATCTCGCACCATCGGAAAAGTCCCCTGCTGGTTGGGTGCTTGCTTGCTCATCGGGGTTTTACATCAACGTACGGTCGACGACTGGGTCGACCGCTGGCAAGGAGAGACGCCCTATGCAAAACCCGTCACTCTGGGACCTAAAACATCAAACTCATCGAGGTACTAATTTCATAAGTACCATAATCAAGACAGGTTAGTGCTTGTCGGACATAGGTAAATACGTCTTATTACACGTATTGCGCACGAAACAAGGCTTCGCCAGCCAACACGAGCACCCTCGAGGCGATGGCCAACCCGCAGCAGCGCGCTGTCTTCGACGCCGTATGCCGCGCGACCTGCCTCCGAACCAACGACGACGTCAATTTTTCTGTGCGGCGAGGGCGGCTATGGAAAGAGCTATGTGTCAGCCTTCTGCTCGCATAGTATCGGTCCAATGAACACATCGCGATTGCCGTTACCTCTACGGGCCTCGCTGCGCTCACACTTCACGGTAGTGCTAATGCTCACTCACGCTTCAAGATCCCATTGTCAGTCAACGCCGATACGATCCTCGGCGTGAGGAAACAGAGCCACATCGCTGCGTTGCTTCGCGAGGCCGATTTCTTCGTCTGGGACGATTGCTCGATGATCCACAAGGACGCCATTGACACCGTCGATCGCATGCTCCAGGATATTTGCTCCGAGCCGCCTCGACTTTTTGGCGGCAAGACCTTTCTTTTCTCGGTCGATTTCAAGCAAACTTAGCCTGTCATTCCACGCGCTTCACGTCAAGATTTCGTCGAAGCTTGTTTGAAGCGGAGCGTTGCCTGGAGCGTCATGTCTACTTTCCACCTCCTCACCAACATGCGCGTTCTTGGACACGAGGTGCCGTTCACAAACATGTAACGTGCCGTTGGGAACGGGTCTTACGGTCGTGAACAGGCAGCACATGGCGGCTTCGGTGACGAGTACATCTGCCCACCCTAAGACATGGTCATCGACTGCGACTCCCCGCATATGCTTACCGACTAGGTCAATTTCGTGTACACAGAGCTTCCTTCTATCCCCATCAATGAGCAACCAGAGTACCTTGCTCAACTACCCAGTTGAGTTCCTTAACTCCATTAACATCGCTG